GAAGATGGAGAGAGAAAAAGGACAGGAGCTAAAACAGAGCCTTGAGGCACACCACAGGATAGATTGCGAAGAGAAGAAGAAAAACGTCCTATTTTTACAGAGAAAAGTCTATTGGTTAGAAAAGATTTAACCCAACTTAAAACCTTTTTGGTAAAAACAATTTTTTTCCAATATCTTAGAAATAAATGGCAAAATGGAGATCGGACGAAAATGTTATTAAATAGAGGCATCAAGTGAGGTTTTCTTTAGTACAGGTGTAACAGTGGCAATTTTCAAACTAGAAGGTACAGCTCCTTCAAGCAAAAATGTGTTATTAGCGACACCAGCCCAGGGCCGACAGTCTCAGATATTTGTGTAGCATCTGGAACACTCCAACACACAATATATATTTTGTTAGCTAGATTTCACAAATACTTTGTAACACCCTAGGACGCCGAACAAGACCCTGGTCTCATGGTAACCCGATACATTTACAACCTTGTGGAATGCGAGCCGGCTCTCATTCTGCTTTCTCCAGAAACAAAGGGACACAAATGCACAGGAGAAATGGACTTTTCTACTAATTAATTCATAGGAAAACCTTCTGTGAATGAACACCCATTTTCTTCAGGCCATTGTGTATATTATTGCTGTGTTGTATTTAATCTGTTGTATTATAGACTATTTTTATTCATGCTTACGATAAACCACTCATTCATATAAGTAACTATTTCATGTCTAGTATCTATGAATTCGCCTTCTTATGATCGAAACAAGTGTGTATATTATATGCTGATACCGTACATAGGCAATATATATTAGGGCCCTGAGAATCGTTAATAATTTCGATTTAAGTCCATTTGCAAATTACCATGCTTAGAGAACAAAGGGGTCGTAAACCCTCCAGCAATTGCCACCTCCCGCTCGGAAATTCTATTTTGCTCATTGGACAAGCCCATCTTGAAAGGCGGAGATCTTCTCCGACCTTAAAGGCCCGGCTCCAGGGACCCGCTCTGTTCGGTGGTTCAGTGAGATGCTAAGATGAAGATGTGAGAAACGCTCCAGGATACCAAAGCTCGTGCCAGGCTCCGGCCTAGTCCTTTTCATTCATCAAGTGATTCTGACTCAAACTAGCTCTTTTTCATCAACCAACTTCAGCAAGATCTTGGGGCCTTAAGATTGCATCAGGAATCTTTTTCAGACATACGCAAGTATCAAACTTAGTCGATTTAATTGATGCATTAAGTATCAGTTACACCTTTTTACACGGTTTGTTTGAACTAAGAATCTGACGTTTTCCCTCAGGTTTTAGATCTGCTGAATATGCAAAATGGTTCCATAAATGTCATTCCTTATGTCTCTTTCTTTAGTGCTAAACTTTAACCCTTTCCTATACCAACTGTATGTGTGTGTGTGTGTATGTGTATGTTAGACCGGCTTAATGTGTTTATGTAGTATGTTAGACTAGTTTAAGTGTTTATGTAGTTAATAAAACCTTACTTGTATCACACTTGACGTGTTCATTGTTTACTCATAACCGGAGTCAATAATCATGCAGATTTACGTTACAAACTTATAGAATTGTAAAGTAAGAAAGTTATTTCCTTTAACCAGGAAATTAACGTTCTTAGAATTGACAAGACGGTTGACCCTGAGTGGTCAGCTAAATATCTACAGTGGATCTAAAATATTAATAATTAATCATAATTAGTTATGGTTAATTATTTATATTTCCCCATGAGCTGATTCGCTACATTTGTCTCAAATAGTAAGGATGTATTGTGTCATGTGAACTAAAGGAGGGTTTAAGTTTAAGCATTACTTCCTTTACAAAATGTAGAGAGACAGGATTGAAAGAAGTCCACAGGACAAGTGTAAGTCATCTCTGTTGGGATTTCCTGATCGGAGACCAGAATCTGGGCCCTCAGACTTGAAGCTTTATTGCCAAAATATCTAGAGAAATCCTCACAAAGTGCCAAAGACAGGCAGTGAAGAGAAATTACAGGGGGTTTAGAACGGAGTTGATAACAGAAAAAATAGTTTTTGGGGTGTGGTGATGTTTCTCAATTAGTTTAGAAACATAAGAAGCCTTGTCTTTCTTAACAGCATACTGATATGACGATAGGCAATTCTTTAAGATCTCATAAGAAATCTGTAATTTGTCCTTTTTCCACTTCCTTTCTGCTTTTCTGCATGACTGTCTGAAGGAACGAATACTATGATCAACCCATGGCACCGACTTAGATGTAGATTTTGGCTTAAAGAGCTTAAAAGGTGTAAGGTTTAAAATATCTGTCCATGCAGTATTTAAAACAATAAAATTATTTACAGCATCAAGATCTAGGACAAGTGTAAGTCATCTCTGTTGGGATTTCCTGATCGGAGACCAGAATCTGGGCCCTCAGACTTGAAGCTTTATTGCCAAAATATCTAGAGAAATCCTCACAAAGTGCCAAAGACAGGCAGTGAAGAGAAATTACAGGGGGTTTAGAACGGAGTTGATAACAGAAAAAATAGTTTTTGGGGTGTGGTGATGTTTCTCAATTAGTTTAGAAACATAAGAAGCCTTGTCTTTCTTAACAGCATACTGATATGACGATAGGCAATTCTTTAAGATCTCATAAGAAATCTGTAATTTGTCCTTTTTCCACTTCCTTTCTGCTTTTCTGCATGACTGTCTGAAGGAACGAATACTATGATCAACCCATGGCACCGACTTAGATGTAGATTTTGGCTTAAAGAGCTTAAAAGGTGTAAGGTTTAAAATATCTGTCCATGCAGTATTTAAAACAATAAAATGATTTACAGCATCAAGATCAGATAATAGAGACTCTAATGATAAAAGAGGGTTGACCTCAATATAGAGCTTGACAAAATCCTTACAAAAATGATGCAAATGTTCACGGGCTTGTGTACCATCAGATGCAGGTGTAAGAGAAGGTAGTGGGAGGGACAATTTAAATAAAACAGGAAAATGATCAGAGATGACAGAATCAACTACTTCAACATCAGTTACCGATAGACCATGTGACAAAATTAGGTCCAAAATATGTCCATGAGTATGTGTAGGATGATTAACCCACTGCAGCAGGTTAAAAGAGTCAATGATGTTTAAAAACTAAGGAGTTAGCTGCTTAGAGGGGCAACATACATGGACGTTAAAGTCACCTAAAATAAAGATGCGATCGTGTTTGTTTAGTGATCAAATCCCCTACAAACTCTGAAAACTCTACTATGAAGTCTTTGATTAAATGTGGTGGCCGATAGATCAAAGCTAAGACCACACTTGTGAAGGTTGCGGAAGATAACTGTCGGCATCGAGGTCTGAAAGAATCTTTAGCAATGATAGCTAGCCCGCCGCCTCTGCCTGATGATCACGGAGCGTTGTAAAAGTGGTAGTTATCTGGAACAAGTTCAGAATATGGACTGAGGTCCCCTACCTTCACCCAGGTCTCGGTGATAAACAGAAAATCCAGGTTGTGAGCAGTAGTAAAAATCGTTCAGGATGTACGTCTTGTTCACCAAAGAGCAAGCGTTTATCAGCGCAATTTTTGGGGAGCGTAGAATGGTGCGCGAAGCAGATGCTTTGCTGAGGACAGAGGTTTGCAGTATTGCGCCCTCACGGCGCGGCCAGATAATAATCCGAAAGTGGAGATATTCCGCTTGAGCCAAAGAGACCGGAGAAGCAGGAGCAGAGGCAGGGGGGTCCGTCACAATTGACCTGAGCTCCAGTGCCATAAAGCAGTCCAACACCATAGCCCGTGACCGAGGCAGAGAACTGAGTACAGCCAGAGAACCAGTTCTCATGAAGGTCTTTATTCTGACAATCACACCCCCACGTTTCCCGCGTCTTCTCTGACGCTTTCTTGGAGTAGTGTCCAGAGGTATTCGCTGGAGGAAGGCCGGGACGTCCCGTAAGAGAGTCCCATGTGTGTGGTCGGTGAATGGTACATAAATGTTTGTGATTTGTATAAAACCTTTTTTCAGATATTTTAAAGTTTTGGTTGGTTGTATTAACTGTGAAAACATTTGAAAAAATTATTTGCATGATTTGTAATTTGTATGAAATTTCCTGACCACTGAGCTCACTGTGTTAACTGTTTTGAAAACAGTGACCTGAGTTTGGAGAAATGTGTCAAATCGACTGAGAAAAACTGTAATATAAAATGCAGATCATTTGTCATCATATGTTATTTGATCTTTATATTGCGGGGCTGTCAACCTGATTGGTTGATGAACGTTCAAAGCTGTTCAGTTATTTTCCAGCAAACACACAGCTACAAGTAGTGCCAGGTCTGACATTATTAGTAGCGGCGAAAACGTGGTTTTTAAAGTAGTTAAACTTACAGTTTCACTATTAGTAGAGACACTGTAGTTAGTAGAGAGATATTGACAGACACACAGACTCATGTACAATAATTCACACAGGCTTAATCTCGCACTCTCTCTAATAATTGCATTAGTGTGCATACCATTGACAGTTATTATTATTAGTTCTAAAATATCATTTTGGAATTGGCAACAGAGTCTTTGGATGAGATGCATAAGAAAGTAGTTCTACACAAAAGAGTGTTTTATGGACAAAAACTGGATGAATATCTTGAAATAAAACATCTGAACAATGACTTTAAGTGTGGTAACCGTGGTATAAATGGAATAATTGACTCTGCACGTGGTCACATCACCACCTTTCAATAATTCAACTGCCCATCATCAGTTATTCCTTATAGAAAAAGTGAGACATTCATCTCTAGATGATTTGTTGTGTTTTCAGTGTATGTATTAGGCCTGCATGTCTGGGAGTGAGTAAGTTTTTTTTTTAAATGGATGCATTCCCTGTTCATTACATCAGAGGTTGTGTAAAATGGGCATCTATAACATGAGTCTCATATCTTAATTGAAAATGAATTTAACTCCAGAAGTAATCTGGCCAAGCTGTGTAGTATTTAGCTTTAGTATGCCTTGATGATTGAGTTTATAACCTTTTTATATTTACCACTGCTTAATTTTCTTTCCATCAGGGTGACAGAGGTGAACGGGGTGAAAAGGTAAAACGTTTTCCCTCTCAAAGTTATCGAATAATTTTTTTCTGTGGTGTTTTGTTTTGCACGCTTTTGAATCGTTTATTGTTTTGGGATTAGCCTAATTCTGTTGTTTAAATATATGGATGCAAGGGTGTATTTTTGATTTGAACATTGGGGGGGTTGAAGTCTGAACTGTTTTACCAGAGTCCCAGGTCATGCTCACTCATAAGGTTTATTTATTTGTTTGTTTGCTTATATATTATTTTGTGAAATGGTATTTTGTGCTATCATCTATGCAAAGTTGGTAAATAACATAACTGCAATAAAGTAACATCATGGTTAACAATTACTTGTTTACATAGGATATACTGTATATATATATAGGAATAGTTACACACAGGGGCGTCGCTAGTGGGGGGAAAAGGGTGACAGAGTGCATAGGGTGACAGAGTGGGGGCCCGCGATCACCTACTAGATGATTTGTTGTGTTTTCAGTGTATGTATTAGATTCCATCGGGAGCACCGGGACATTCCATTTGAGTAGTGGCCCGATCGCCGAAATGAGGCAGACCTCCCCAATATTAGGTGCTGTTTTTAAATTACAGCACATGCGAAACCGCATAAAGCAAATACTCCGACGGTTTGAAGCAGCGCTACCCGATGCATCCGCCAGCCGTGCGTCAAAGCAGAGCGGGATCAGTCACCCGCACAGTGCTGACGAACGTGTGCCGCGCTTCTGCCACGATTTATAAGCGATAAACAGCGCAAGTCACTTGATCCATTCAGATGTGACACAGAATTGTTATACAGTCGTGTGATATGAGAACATTAAAGGTTCTAGTGATGCTGGCTGTAAACAGCCACGACAATTAGATATAATGGAAAACACCAATAGGCTTGTCAATTCAGCACCACAGTAATTTAACTTGAAGTTATTTAAGGGGTCATATGATGGTGCTAAAAAGAACATTATTTTGTGTATTTGGTGTAATGAAATGTGTTTATGCGGTTTAAGGTAAAAAAAAACATTATTTTCCACATACTGTACATTATTGTTTCTCCTCTATGCCCTGCCTTTCCAAAACGTGTAGATTTTTAAAAAGCTCATCAGTCTGAAAAGCGAGGTGTGCTCTGATTGGCCAGCTATTCAGTGCGTTGTGATTGGCCGAATACCTGAAGCATGAGACGGAAATGTTACGCTTCTTACCATATTGTGATGCCGTGTCCCGGAGCGACGAGACAAAAACATTAAAAAAAACATTATAAACTAGGCATTTGTTGCATCCAGTGGGGACATAATTACGGATTATAATGACTTGTAGTGTCTTTTTATGCGTTGCGTCGCACCACGTAAACATAAAACCATGTCTGCATTTTTGATCGGAGAAATTACAAACAACAAGCGCTACTCTACACTGCTCAAAACTCGCGTTTGAATCATCAGTGGCAAATTCTTTAAATATGAAAACTTACTTACAGTCTGTAAGTCTGTTCATCTCAACATCATGACATTCCAAACCTGTATGAATTGCTTTCTTCTGTGGAACATAATTTGAGAAATTCAAGACATTTTTGTCCAAACAGTAGAAATCAAGAGTAACCAAATGGATTTGGTAACATTCTACAAAATCTTCTTTTGTGTTCAACAGAAGAAAGTCGTTTGGAACGACATGAGGGTGAGGAAATGATGGCAGAATTTATTAGCAGTAACTTTCCAGCAGTCTAGTTCAAAATCAATGCTTTACTGTCAAGTGTTTTTATATGTGACAAAAAGCATTATTAAGTTTGTTGCATTTGTCGTGAATTCAGTAATATCTCTCAGTATTCGTTTCTGGCCTGTTTTATTTATTTATTTACTCCAACTGAAGGCCCTATGACCCATCAAAACATTCAAGGGGGAATTTATAGGCCGGATGGGCTCGAATTGTCCTGGGCCAAATTTTAACCCCAATCCAGCCCCCACCCCTGAAAGTTATTTTACATTTTACGATCGCAACTCATACCCCATACCCCCCCACTGAACGTGATTTTGAGGGGGGCCCATAGCAAATTTAGTGCACAGGGCCCAGAATTCCTAGCGACGGCCCTGTATATATATATATATCCTGGGGGATGGGGGAGTTCCCCCTCCGTACAGATCGCATTCCGCGTTCCCCTCGGTAAATCGCGTTCCGTGGGGGGGTTCCCCTCGGTAGAAATCGCAATTGTTTCCCCCTTGGGGGCCCCCCTCCATCGTCAGACCCTTAGAATCGTCCTCCCCCCCCCCCCCTTTACGGCACCCCTGGCTTGAAATGTTATCACACTTCGAGCACGCTGGTGTACGCACACAGAGTTTACTGGGATTCACGCGCCACTCATGAACTGCGCTTCAGTCATATTTTGCTGATAACTGTTCCGTTCGGTTCGTAAGTAAAGTTACGCTGATAAAGGCTTTTTTTAAATATGAATTAATAGCCTGATTCTAGGTTTCCATTAACCATGATATAAATATTGGGGGGGGTTGTACTTGCTAGTTTTGGTTATTGAACTACGCCCCTGTGATAGGATATGTGCATATATGTGCTGTTAGAACAATATAATGTTACACTCAATGCCTGCATTATTAAAGTCAGTGCTGAAGCTCTGGAAGAGTAAAACTTTGAAAACTGTTAAAGGTTGAAGTGCTCACTTGACCTCCGCATCTGCTTCCTTGGCAGATGATAGACAACTGTGAACAACGAACATTTTAAAATTGATTAGACCTTGTGAAGTATCTCAAGATGAAATCTGAATCTTTTTCCAGTAAATTGGTGGAAAATGCAATCAGGCTATGATTAGATGGCTTATGTGAATTCTGAACAAAGAAATAGCACTCTGCAACTTCTCATCTGACATATTAGATGAATGTGAGTAAAAAGAGCAAATGCAGGATTGAAGACAAAGGGAATTCGAATTAGAGTGTTCCAATTACACTTTCTCTAATTTTATGCACTGTGATGCGTGTCTTCAAAGATTATTTCTTAAATGACTTTCACAGACAGACAAATGTACAAGACATAGTATTAGAATGTTTAGGCTACTTGTCAGAAGCTCTTTATTCTCAGTGAAAGTTCATTCATTTTAAGGATGGTAACCCTGGTACTGCTCAAGAGCACAGTGTTAATAAAGCTGTTCAGTGTGCAATGGCCTTTACTCTTTATGCCTTGGATCACTACTAATTAGGATTATATCTTGACGTTGTTGGCAAACTTATCCTTAACCACAGGCTTCCACCAATATTTCCTTTTGAAATTGCTAATTTAGACCGATTTTTGACCATTTCATCTTAATGTGTCAAACACCCAGACAGTTTCATACAGATCAAATGTAGACTCCATCCCACTATAGACTTGCAGATTTTTCAAATCCAGACTTTCCCGTGGAAATTAAAAGAGTGCTATCACCACTACCACTTCATTGCAGAAATGACCATTTTACTTGGGCTACAATCAGATTTGACAGATTCATTCTTTGCATAATATTTTTAAACTCACCTTTACTGTCTTTGCTTTTTAATAGATCTACCCTTAAAGCAACTGCATGTTTATTTAATGTATTTTTGTGACTTTCGAATCCCCTACAGTTAAGTGAGTGGAATTCACAGTCATAAATATATCACTGTCATAATTACAGTAGACGTGTGCATTTGTTGACAAATTATTTCAAAAGTTAAGAACCATGTTGACTTATAAGGTGAGCACTATTACAACCACACCAAAAAGAACAGCATAGGGAGGACAGAAATGTTTAGTTCTGTTAAAAATAATGGAGAAAACAAAAAAAGTTTAATCGTTTAAAGTGCAGTGTTTGTGTGTAATCAAATTACACAATAGACCACATTACTCATATACATTTGAAAGTATAGACTATGACAATCTGGCAGACATAGGTTTTCAAGGTTGCAAACTTTCAAAGCATACCTGCCATGAGATTTATTTATTTGCATGCTATCCTTAGATGGGACTGTTAGATGACTTTTGACATCCCGGACAAACTACAAAACTGTGTGAGGTACAGATGACATGATAATGTTAGAAAAGAGCCATGTATGTATGTTTACAGCTGTAAAAAGCATGAAATTTAGTGATAGGAGAGTAGCATGCTAAGCTAACATAACCTTGGTTGAAATCGTATTCCGGGGATGGACACGCCCAATAGCCCTCTCCCCACGGCCAGCCACTAGCTCTTGTTTTAAATACAGTAAATTAACTTCTGATTCATCTTTTAACCAAAGAGAGTTATTTTTATCTGTAATTTTATATTTTACCATAAAACAACAGTTCAATGAGGCAACACTGCTTGTGTTCAGTATGTATTCAAATAATAAAAAATGTGCTTTTTCTGTGCTTTTTCTGACAGGGAGACATGGGAGAGGAGGGGCCAAAAGGTGACCCTGGAGAGAAGGTCAGCCTACACTTATATACAAATTTAAAAGAGAATAACATGATTAACTGTAACATAATTAAATGGTATGTCAGTGTGCACTATGATATTGTGAAATTGCTACTCATAGGACATCATTTCTGCACTGTGGACTGTGAAAATATATTTATTTAAATTATATAATTATAATTATTAAAACTATATTATTAAATAAAAAGCAGAATAATTATTATTATTAATATCATTACGTAATTTCACTGTAAAAAATTGGCAGCTACGGCTGCCAAACAAAAAACATAAAGTTAAATATCTTAATTGAAATAAAGTGCAAAAACAATAATTTTACAGAAATTTGCATTAAAGGTTTTACAGAAAAAAAGTGTTATTTTACAGATTTTTCCTGGGTTCAATTATGATATTTTACTTTAATTTGACGGTTTTTGTTTGGCAGCTATAGCTGCCAGTCATTTACTATTTTTACGGGGTCTCGGTACGGTTGTTTGGTCCGCACCCGAGTGCGCTTGTTGTATTCACACCTGCCAAAAAGGTCTGCACCAAGAGGGGAAATGAACTTGAGTTCGATTCAATCGAACCAAACAAGACAGGTGTGAATACACCCTAAATATATTCAACTTAAAGGAAAAGTTCACTTCCAGAATGAATATTTCCTGATAACAGCACTGTAGCTTCGCAGGCAGGTTTCGTGAAGCATCTTGGAGACGTTGCCACAGTTCTTCTGGATTTAGTTTGTCTCAGTTTGTTCTGTTTCTTCATGTCATTCCAGACAGACTGGATGATGATCAGATCAGCTGATCACCTGCTGTCAGAGAAAAATCTCACTGGATTATTACACTTAATGGCAAAATGAATGTTTGGACATGTAAACTGATATTTTCTACTGACACATTACAGCAAAAGATGGAAATAACTGACTTAAAACCATTTTTTAACTGCTGAAAATACTAGTGTTCTAATAATTTTGAGCACCACTGTAGCTCTGATAATATATGTAAACAAACATATGTATTTTAATTCTGAATTCTAGCTATATTAGTGTGAAAATAAGTAAAACCAAAACATACAACAAAAGGTCCATGACTCTGCTCCATAAGTGACAGACACAGCAGATAAAGAGCAGTCCTCCTCCAAATTGCCAGTAATCAGCTGGATCAGCTGGGGGTAAAAAAAAGAAAAAAAGATTGTGAGAAGACACCTGTTTTATCTGGGATTAAAACTAACTAAAAACATGGAAGAAAAATACTGTGAACATTCCTTTAAAAATAAATGAATGTTAGTATGTCTTAATGTTAGACATGAATACTCACTTCCTCTGAAGATCATGTGGTAGAAGATTTTCTTTCCCAAAACTTCTGGATCATGAGGGGGAAGCACACACACAAACAAATTAATATCAATTTGTTTAATAAAACACTACCTACTTACTGACAGAGACATGGGCTTGCAAACATGTACTCACCAGCTCCATACAAAATCTTCACAG